GGGGCTGGGAGATGGAGAGGGGCGGGGCTTGAGGTGGACCGGGGCTGGAAGAGGAGGGGCGGACTTGGGAGGTGGGGAGCGGCGAGGAGAGGGAGGGCGAGAGGAAGACGAGTCGCGCGGGAAGGAGGCCGGGTGTACTAGTGAAAAAACAATTTTGGAGACCGAGGCAAAAGAAGCTGAGCGAGTACTGCCTACGCCCACCATTGAGAGATTCGAGGATTCGACCTTAATTAACTGGGATCGTTTTAAAAAACCAAATTTTGATTATGCAGACCTGGGGGCGGGGGGCATCTTCAATTTTAAAAGCGTCCTCAGGCGTACCCAACGAGCTGTCAGATTTAGAACCTACTGGCCATTTTATTTTTTACCTCCCCTCAAGGGTGAGGATGGGACTGGACTAAGCGACAAGAATTTTAAAGTCATTAGCTTTTATGTCACTTGAACCCATTAAAAGCCTAAACCCGTTAAGTAAATGTATTAGATGCATGTGAGACAAAAATTTCACAAGACAGGAAATGCTTCCGAAGTAAAATATTAACAAAAGTAAAAGAAGGGGAATAACCTTGAATCTCTGTAAGGACCTGGTATCTGCATTCCAGGTAATCTGGGGCAGGTCTCAAGATTCCAGGGCGGGAATAATTCTATGGTATAGAGAAGCCATAGAAAGAGTCTCAAGAAAGCCTCAAAAATTCTCAAGTTCCAGCGTGGCCCCATAAAAAGCAAAATGATATCTGCAAGCAAGACAAATACCTAGAAGAGAATCCCAAAGTCTGAAGGAGCCCTCTGTACAGCTGAGAGGAGGGTGCTTACAGTATCTTTCTTCAAAATTTAGGCACTATGAAGGCTCCCCAGAATTTAACCACAATCCAGGAGCAAGAGGAGAGGACAACGAATTGATTGGGATTTCCCACTGAATAGACTGGGAATGCAAAATTTTTAAATCTAGGTGTAATAAAAATATATTGCTTGTTACACTTCAATTTTTAAACTTTATTCCTCTCAGGAATTTTATACCTGAGATGGGATGGAATGTATGTAATGAATGTCCCAACAAAGTATGCATGTGCACAGAGCAGTTTTAAAAAAACATTTTTCCAGGAGGAAATTTTCAGGAGGCCCTGGGAGAAAGGAGATAGAGAGGGCATTCCAAAAAGGGAAACATCATGTGTAAAACAGAAGTGTAAAACATTAAGCTTTTTGTTTTGTTTTGTTACTTTTGTTTTCTTGTGTTTTTATGAGGAGAAAAGGAGATTAGGAAGAAAAGCCATAGAGCAAGGATTTGTAGATAAGTACATGTTAAACCTGGCAAGCCAGACCTGAGAGCTCAGCCTTTAACTTACAGGCAGTGGGAGAAATGTGTTTGGCCTTCCATTTTAGAAAGCTTATTCAGGGAGAACGAGTTGGAGGAGTTTATAGAACTCAAATCAGGGAGTCAGTTTAGGATACTATTGCAAACTAAATGATGTCAATACTCATACAAAGGCTGTGGTAACTGAGGGAAGAGAAATGATTGCAGACATTTAGGAGATAGCATCAAAAGAGAATTAGTGACTAATAGATGCGCCTAATGTGGTAGAGAAAGGAAATAAAAAATGATTCCCAAGATACTGATTTATAAAGCTAAGTGCCATTAATCAGATTAAGAATAAAGTAAGTGAGTAGATGGGGGGATAAAAGGTAATGACTTAGTTTTAAACATGTCCATGTTGTGCCTGAAGTGTCTGCAGGACATTCTGTACACTACAATTTCTCAGCCTTTGCACTATCGACATTTTGGGTCGGATAATTCTTTGCTAGAGGTATGGGATCTGTCTTTTATATTGTAGGATGTTTAGCAGCATTCCTGGCTTCTACCCACTAGGTGCTGTTAGCAGCCCCCCTCCCAGTTATGACAACCAAAAATATCTCCAGACATTGCTAAATATCTCCCCAGGTGGTGGGGGCAAAACTGCCCTCAGTTTGATAGCCACTGCTGTACACAGGTATCTATAGGAGTATGCAGTCAAAGCAGAAGAGTATCAGGAAGAGAGGAGTACTCAACAATATCAAGCAGACAAGTGAAGTAAGAGCTCTGAAGCAAGCATTGGATTTGGTAAAGAGGATGCCTCCAACAAGACTAGTTCCTGTGGAATGGTTGGGGCAGACGCCAGACGAGAGTATATGTTCAGAAGTAAAGGAAAATGGCATTGGGTATAGACTGTGCTTTCAGAAAGCTTGGCTAAGAGGGAAGGCTAGAGCTAGAGAACTACCTGGAAGTTGTACAGAAATAATAATAGGGAAATGTGGATATGTTGATAGGCTAAGGTGAAAGACCCAGCTGAGAAGACCTTCTGTTTATCTTTAGTTAGTTCATTCCTTCATTCAGTTGGTCATCAGTTATTTCATACCTACTAAATGTTTTGCTTAGCTCTAGTTGCAGAGGATAAAGCTGTAAACAAACCGACTTTCTCAGGTTAAAGATGGCGGCTGACTGAGTGGAAGCTACACTGACACTCTCCCGGGACCAAACTGGAATTACAACTAAAATATAGAAGAACCCTTCTGAATAATCAACTGCAACTGAAGATGAGCTAGAGAGCACCCTCATAACCCAGGAGGAAAAGTGGAGCCCACATAGAGACTGGCAAAAAGTGCAAGAGGGATGGCTGGGCTCCCATAGGCAGCAGCTGATGGCCCAGAGGGATATATCAGCTGGGGGGGGCTCCCACTGAGGACTCTGGGGCCTAAACCCCAGGCTGGGCTTCCCAATCAAGAGCACCAGAACTGAGAAAGGTGCCCACATAACATCTGGCTGAAAAGCATCCAGATTTCTGTCTACCAGGGAGAGATGGCTGGAAATGCAGACACCCTCTTAAAGAGCTGTAGGAAGAAAATAATCTTTTCTATCAAAGTAATTGAGGTAGGCCAAACTAAAAAATCCACCTTAACATCCTCCATTTTGTATTCAGTACATGTGTCCAGTTGCCCAGATGTACCCACTTCCTGCCATTATAGTAATCCGCCCCATGTGCACTTTCTAAATTAGCCAGTTGGTTTATATTATGAAGCCTTAACCTAACCAATAGGGTATGGCACAGTGGCATTCGCATTAGGGATAAAAGCCGAACAGACCTCCTGTTCAGTGTGCTTGCTTGCCTGATTTGGGTAGGTCTGCACCCTTCTGCAGAAGTACAGTTTGCCTTTCTGAGTTATTTTTGATTTCTTGTGTCTTTATTTGTGACATGGTCAAAGCATATTTCCAACAGAGCCAACACACAGAGTTTCATGTGCAGCCACTCACCTTGGCCTACAGCAGAGGGAGGGCAGAGTGGCCTGGAGCTGTGTGAGGAGAGTCTGGGGTTGTGGGCTCTGGAGATAGAGCTCAGAGGGTACCCCTTTGGATTCCTGTGCTGAGTCATTCCCCTATACTGCAGAGGCAGACATTTACCTTCCAAGCNCTGGAGCTGTGTGAGGAGAGTCTGGGGTTGTGGGCTCTGGAGATAGAGCTCAGAGGGCACCCCTCTGGATTCCTGTGCTGAGTCATTCCCCTATACTGCAGAGGCAGACATTTACCTTCCAAGCAGCTTTTGCCTATGGGGGAAGCAATTACCCCACACTGCTGGAAAACCTGTAGCCCTACCCCACGTAGTATCTACAGCCTGAGGCTCATTAAGAGACTGATAACAATCAACCACCCCACCCTGTGGAGATTCCACAGCCTGAGGCTCATTAAGAGAATCAGATTAATCAGCCTGCAGGCAGAGGCAGACCTCAGA